CTAGGATTTGTAATACTCTTCTTTATATCGATGAACATTAACAGAAAATAATCGAAAGGAATCTAGATGCCCGTTTCTACTGTAACTAATGAGCTGGTTTTTATCTTGTAATTAATCATTCTGTTAGAGTATGTGTGGCTCATATTTGCTGTGTGCATAATGGCAAGGAGGCAGATGCCGGAGCGGGCGGAGCCTGTGACGGGCATCTGCCTTGCGGGATTTATATAAAGAGGACGCTGATTAGTTGGGGGTGTGGGGGCAACGCCCCCGTGGTACGGTACAGGGGTATTTTTGTAAATACGTCCATATTAGGGTTATATAAATACTTAAGATGTAACCCTATTCTATAATGGAAAAGAACGGCCGCTCGCTCTCGTGGATGTAGGCACATTGCCGAACCACGTAAATCTCTGTGTGTTATTTTCTCCTACTTTCTTAATTGTTTGATTCCTTACTATTCACCATAATTGCTGCACGATCACAACAATTGGTATCAGAGCTAGACTACGATGTCTGGGATTTCCTCTACAAAATTCGACATCATGAAGTTCGACGGAACTGGGAATTTCGGATTATGCCAGAGGAGGGTGAAGGACCTGTTAGTGCAGCAGGGCATGGTGAAGGCATTATACGGAAAACAACCGACAGGAATGGACGACATGAATTGGAAAGAATTGGAAGCGAAGGCTGTGGCGACTATTAGGTTTTGTCTGGCTGATGAAGTGATGTATCACGTCATGGATGAGGAATCACCGGCGGAAGTTTGGTTGAAACTGGAAAGTCGGTATATGTCCAAGTCGTTGACGAACAACCTCTATCTTAAGCAGAAATTATATGGTCTTAAGATGTCAGAGGGCTCGGATTTGACCCAACACATCAACGTGTTCAATCAGATCATCAACGATCTGAAGCGAGTTGATGTGAAGTTCGAAGACGAAGACAAGGCGCTGATGTTGCTGAATTCCTTACCGGCGTCTCCTACGTACGAGAATTTGGTTACGACTCTGATGTGGGGGAAAGAAACCCTCGAATTGGAGGACGTCACAGGTGCTCTGTTAGGTTTTCATCAGCGGAAGAAAGGCAGTGATGAGGCTTCACAAGGTGAAGGGCTTGTGGTGAAGAGTAACCAGGAACGTGGAAGAAGCAAATCTCGGAATGGATCGGGTAACAATAAAGCCCGGTCCAAGTCGAGGAAGAAGAAGAAGGACGTCTCTGTCTCGTGTTACAAGTGCGGGAAAAAGGGGCACTTTAAACGGGACTGTCCAGAGAAAAAGAAAGGGGATTCAGAGAACAAAGAGGGTGCATCAAAGTCTGCAAACGTAGTGGAAGAAGAAGATTCAGAGAGTGGTGACGGAGATATGCTTTCTGTTTTATCTAGTTCAGATCGTTTAACAGATTCTTGGATTATGGATTCAGCATGTTCCTATCACATGACACCCAACAAAGATTGGTTTGACACCTACAGGTCAGTAAATTCTGGTTCTGTTCTGATGGGTAATGATGCATCTTGCAAAGTTGTTGGAATAGGAAATATTAGAATTAAGATGTTTGATGGTATGGTTAGAACGTTGTGTGATGTTAGACATGTACCGGATCTAAGGAAGAATTTGATTTCATTGGGCACTTTGGATTGTAATGGTTATAGTTACAAATCTATAAGTGGAGTAATGAAAGTAAGTAAAGGCATGCTGACAGTGATGAAGGGACAGAAAGTAGTAGGAAACATTTACAGACTGCTGGGTACTACAATTGTAGGTGGAGTTGCTGCTGTAGAGTCTGAATCAGATAATACAGTCTTGTGGCATATGCGGCTGGGTCATATGAGTGAGCGTGGGATGATAGAGCTTCATAAGAAAAATCTATTGAAGGGTGTCAAGACATGCAAGCTCAATTTTTGCAAATATTGTGTTTTTGGAAAACAGAATAGGGTGCAGTTCAAGACAGCCACACACAAGACAGAGGGGGTTCTCGACTATGTCCATACAGATGTTTGGGGACCAGTTAGCGTACTATCACGGGGAGGATACATGTATTTCGTGAGTTTCATTGATGATTACTCACGAAAGGTCTGGGTGTACTTCATGCGGCACAAGTCAGAAGCGTTTGCCAAGTTCAAGCTGTGGAAAGCTGAAGTAGAGAACCAGACAGGGAGGAAGATTAAATGCCTCAGGTCAGATAATGGTACTGAGTACACAGATTCAAAGTTCCAGGAGTTGTGTGAGCAGCATGGGATCAAGAGACACTTCACAGTCCGCAAGACACCACAACAAAATGGTGTAGCGGAAAGGATGAACAGAACGATAGCCGAGAAAGCTCGGTGTCTCAGGTTGAATGCAGGGCTTGCAAAGAATTTCTGGGCAGAGGCAGTGAATATAACATGTTTCTTGATTAACAGATCACCGAGGGCAGCACTAGATGGGAAAGTATCAGAGGAGGTGTGGACAGGCAGTGAGGTAGACTACTCTGGTTTGAGAGTGTTTGGATGTCCAGCCTATGTACATGTTTCTAGTGAGGAGAGGTCGAAGCTTGATGCGAAGTCTAGACAGTGTATCTTTCTGGGATATCAGAAAGGAGTGAAAGACTTCAAGCTCTGGGATCCGAAGGCAAACAAGATGGTGATCAGTAGAGATGTGGTTTTTGATGAAAAAGCCATGTTGCAACGTACTCAGGAAGAAGAGAAACAAGTACCAGAAAACTGTAGCACTAATGACCATGTGGTGCAGGTGGAGCTAGAGAATCATGGTAGAGAAGAGGATGCTCAGCATGTAGAGCGTTCTATCTCAGGTGATCAACAACATCATAGTATAGCCACAGACAGGCCCAAACGCAATATCAAGCCACCTACCAGGTATGGTTTTGAAGATTTGGTTTCTTATGCGCTTATTACTAGTAGCGGGGATCCTACAACTTTTCAGGAGGCAGTACAAAGCCAAGAGAAAAGTAGATGGATGGGTGCTATGGTGGAGGAGATGGAGTCTCTGCATAAGAACCAGACGTGGGAGTTGGTGGAACTTCCCGAGGGGAAGAGAGCAATAGGGTGCAAATGGGTGTATAAGAAGAAAGAAGCAGTATCAGAAAATGAGGGAGAAAAATTCAAGGCTCGTCTAGTAGCAAAGGGTTACTCACAGAGAAAAGGGGTTGACTATGATGAGATCTTCTCCCCCGTGGTCAGACACACTTCCATCAGGACAGTGTTGGCACTAGTAGCACATTCAGATATGCAGTTGGAGCAGATGGATGTAAAGACAGCTTTCCTTCATGGCGACTTGGAGGAACGGATTTACATGGTACAGCCAGAAGGGTTCAGTCTCCCTGGAGAGGAACATTTGGTCTGTAATTTGAAGAAATCACTTTATGGGCTGAAGCAGTCTCCGAGGCAGTGGTACAAACGATTTGACTCTTACATGATCCGAATTGGCTACAAAAGGTGTGAGTATGATTGTTGTGTCTATGTAAAAGGGCTTGATGATGATTCATTTATTTTTCTGTTACTTTATGTGGATGATATGTTGATTGCTGCCAAGAGTATGAGTGAGGTCAACAAGTTGAAGACTTTGTTGAGTAGAGAATTTGACATGAAGGATTTGGGTGCGGCCAAGAAGATTCTTGGGATGGAGATTCGCAGGGACAGAGCTTCCAGGAGATTATGGCTATCTCAGCATAGCTATGTTGAGAAGGTGTTGGACAGGTTCAGCATGAGTTATGCAAAATCAGTAAGTACACCTTTGGCGAATCATTTCAGATTGTCTACCGCTCAGTGCCCGAAGACAGATGATGAAGTTCATGACATGTCAAAGGTCCCATATGCTAGTGCAGTGGGGTGTTTAATGTATGCTATGGTTTGTACAAGACCAGATTTGGCACAAACTGTCAGCGTGGTTAGCAAGTTTCTTTCAAATCCGGGTCGACAGTATTGGGATGCAGTCAAGTGGATTTTCAGATACTTGAGGGGCACTACAGACTATGACATCAGGTTTAGCAGACAACAGAGTGACCCTTCAGTTATGGGATATGTGGATGCAGACTATGCAGGGGACTTGGATGACAGGAGGTCTACCACAGGTTATGTGTTTACTCTTGTGGGAGGACCTATTTGTTGGAAGTCCATGGTACAACCTATAATTGCACTATCTACTACTGAGTCAGAGTATATGGCAGTAGCTGAGGCTGCCAAAGAGGCTTTGTGGCTTACAGGTTTAGTCAAGGAGCTGGGTGCCCAGCAAGGTGGAGTTCAATTGCATTGTGATAGTCAGAGTGCCATTTATTTGGCAAAGAACCAGGTGTATCATGCGAGGACCAAACATATAGATGTGAGGTTTCATAAGATCAGGGAACTGGTTTCTTCTGGTGAACTATTACTTGAGAAAGTTCACACTTCTGAGAATGCAGCAGATATGTTGACAAAACCTGTTACTACAGACAAGTTCAAGCACTGCTTGGACTTGATTAATGTCTCTAGTTGCTAGATGGGAGATGCCTCAACTCAGCGTCCTCGGTGGAGTTCCCGAATACATGTCATCTTTTTTATTCTAAGGGGTGAATATTTGCCAAGGTGGAGATTGTTAGAATATGTGTGGCTTATTTTTGCTATGTGCATAATGGCAAGGAGGCAGATGCCGGAGCGGAGCCCGCGACGGCATCTGCCTTGCGGGATTTATATAAAGAGGACGCTGATTAGTTGGGGGTGCGGGGGCAACGCCCCCGCGGTACGGTACAGGGGTATTTTTATAAATACGTCCATATTAGGGTTATATAAATACTTAAGATGTAACCCTATTCTATAATGGAAAAGAACGGCCGCTCGCTCTCGTGGATGTAGGCACATTGCCGAACCACGTAAATCTCTGTGTGTTATTTTCTCCTGCTTGCTTAATTGCTTGATTCCTTACTATTCACCATAATTGCTGCACGATCACAACACATTCATCCTTGGAATTTTTATGGACAAGTAGTTTGGACTATGCTTGTTCTGAACTATATTATGTTACTCTATGCTCCAGATGGGAAGGTGATGATGGAGTACATTGGAGCAACCGGTGTTCCAATAACATTTACCCCTGTTCCCATTGAAGATGGCATTGACTTTCACTTCATACTAAGCTTTGCCATTGATACAGACTCCTCAGGAAATCCCCAAAATGGCACGTTCTCAGCATACTGGGCACCAACCTTAACCTTAGAATCAGTAGCAACCATCAAGGCCATCCACGCCAATGTTAAGGCCTTGGCCAGTCTCTCCTGCTGGAGCCTAGGCAACAAAGTCCTCCGTTGGTACACCCCACCCGACCCCCAACAATGGATCTCCAATGCCTTCACCTCCCTTAAAAAACTTGTCACCACATACCACCTAGATGGAATTGACATAGACTACGAAAACTTCCCGAAACACAACGAAAGCTTTGCCTATTGCATTGGTGAACTCATCACTCTATTGAAGAACCAAAGTGTCATCCTGTGGCCACAATCGCGCCATTTTACAGCACGACTGCACCCTACATGGAACTCTATAACCGATGTGGAGATGTGATTGACTACATAAACCACCAATTCTATACCGATAAGGTCAAGACCCTGAGGGGATTTTTGGAAGCCTTCAGACTTAGAACTCAGCAGTTTGGGAGAGAGAAAGTGTTGCCTAGCTATGAAGTTAATGTGAGGGGAATTCAAGGGGATGCATTTTTTGAGGCTTTGAGTCTTTTGGAAGAAAATGGTTTTGATGTTAATGGGGTGATGATCTTCTCTGCTGATGCTTCTGCTTCCAATGACTATTATTATGAGAGGAAATCTCAAGCTTTCTTGCTCAATTCTACTAGCACATGATATGATTTTGCAAGTTTGTAACAAGTGGTAATTGATCTATTCACATGGTCTTGTTTGTGGCATGTTTGTGACAATAATGATTAAAAAAAAGAGTGTTTTTCAAATGATATGATTTATAGAATTTGTATGCCAAGCGTTTAGTTTGGACTAAATCATATATTGGTACATGTATATATGTTATATGGGTTTTGATTACCATGTAGATTTATATTGGGATGGCTTGGTTATGGTCTAACAGAATGAGTTGAGGTGTAAATTTGAGTTCAACTAAATAAATAGAACAATTAACTCGAGTTCAACTTGAAACCGACCTCCAAGTTGAACCCTTCAAAGTATTGCAATGCTTAGATTTTTGAAAGCAAGTTGCATAACTCAGACACTTGTAATTCAAATTTGGTTCTTGATTGCAATTCAAGTTGAGTCTTAAAAAGTCGAGTTGCACTTAAGTATTGAAACAATTTACATTGGATACAAACTTTTTCTTCAAACTCCACTCAAATCAAAATTCATGTGCAAGTATTATGCATTTTTGGTTTGAATTTTGATTCATCAGTTCAAATTACGCCCTTGAATATTGAAATGCAATGTTGGTGGTTGATCCCAAACGTGTAATACTACCACTGTCATGTAGCAACTCTTTTGTTTGATAATTCCAGGCACCAACCAAACGTTGGTTATTTTTCCAATAACCAATAAGTCTTTTTTTGTAATAAAAATTATTGTCTGGTACAACATTTAAATCCCAACTTTGATAATTTATTCCACGTTAATCCAAAAGTGTATCAATCATGTCCTTATTCCATTTTTATCAATTCTTATTGCAACATAAATTACACTTTTATATATATATATTTTATTGTGCAAGTTTAGTTTATCCACAAACTAAAAAAAAAAGAAGAATTATTGCCACTAGACGTATATGATTTTAAGTTCGACTTTGTATAATATTTTATTTTCTTACAAATCAACATTTATTGGTCACGCATCATATTAACGGAAAAAAGTATAATTCGAATAACTCGTCTAACTTGCTAACAAAGCTTTTTCTGATACCAAGTTATATTAATAATTTGCTTTATTTATTTATATTTTTGAATAACATATAGTGACATTTTCGTTATTTAAAGCTAATGGACAAGAGAATAATGATAATAAAGTTATGATATTTTTTTTGAAATTAGCTTGAAAATGGAGCAATTAGGTATCCAGACAGATATTTAATAGGACTCTTTGGGTTTTTTCAACAAAAAAAATAATACTTTTTTAAAATTACATTAAAAATTAGCACTTATTTATGCCAGTGAAATTTAATAAAACTCACTGATATTTGGGAAAAAAAATATAATTTTATAGTTATTTTTCCTTGGTTATATGTACCATGCTAAAACAATCATACACATGTCAACTAGAAGTGTTCAAATTTTTGATTATCTGTAAATTTCGACCCTATTCTACTTTACTTGACTTTATTGATCAGCTACCCGAAAGAATAGGATAAGCCAATAAAAGATTTTTTGATATTCCACAAAAAAATCAAGTAGGAATGCGAAATACTTTCAAATTTTTGATATAAAAATTTTAATATTTAATTGTTATTTTATGGTTTTTTTTATATATAATGTATTAATGTTTATTGCTTTCTTGTTGTGAGTTTATTGTAATTGTTTATGTATTATCAAATTTATTGTATTTTCTTTAGTATTATTGGTTTATTGTGTTAGTTAATTGGTGTATGTTACTTAATTAAGTTGTTAAAATGATCAAAAAATTAATAACTAAAAAATATGTGTTCATCTAATTTTTTATTTGACTTTCTACCCGATTGTTTTAGACGAAATTCGAGTAGAAATATTACATTTGATTGGATATGATATGTCAAGAAAAAAAATTTCCAAAAAATATCGAATAGAAAAATAAAATACCATAATTCCTACACGTAGAGTAGGGTAAACATCCCTAAGATCAAAACCAACCAACTATATGATTCTATTCGTTCTTCAACAAGCCAAGTCAATATGCCCTGATTACAATCATCACTCATAGTATATAGATAATAGATTGATCGAGTGCATATATCTTTATTTACTCATTGAGATAAAGATACGTACGTTATGATATCAATGTGTCACGCAATAGTAACAAAATTCATGTATGCACATCTTCGCCAGTTTCGGCTCAACGAAAGAGGAAAAAAAGTATGGTCTTTAAGCCTCACATATAAACAAGGCCCAAATTTGATGTGAATAATATAATACACACCAAAGATTAAAACTTAACACAATTTAGTATAACAAAAACACTCTTCAAAGAGTAAACCAAAAAATAATAATTTTAAAATTTTGGTCCAAAAATCCAACTCACCTAACACAATCACATTTATTAAATGATAAAAAGAGTAAACAAGAAAGTGTTGACATCCTCAATCTTTTTTTTTTTTTACTTTTTCCTGTCAATAATAATAAGTATCGCTCTCTCTCTCTCTCTCTCTCTCTCTCTCACAAAAGCAAAATTAAACTTGATACATTCTTCACTTGTCTCAAAATCGATTTTATTGTAATTTAAGTATAAACTGTCAACTAAATTATTCATTCTCATAAAAAGATCCAAAATAAAACAAATTTAATTTAAAAAAAATATTTTTCAATAAAGTTGTTACTCATAGCAAATAAAATATAACAAATATTTAGGTAAAAGTTGATGATGCACAAAAATGGTTTTGCACACCACCTGTCAAGTATAGATAATAAATGCAATGAAATCAATGAGAAAATTAAAGAAGACACAATTTATAGTGGTTCGGTCAATTCGACCTACGTCCACTCTTCAATGGCTTCAGTTGCCGGGTATTTTATTGATTCAAAGGTATGGAGAATGGAGATACAAGCTTTGAGAGAGAGAATGGAGAATCAAAGAATAATAATCTCCGGTAGTCGGTTCGTCTTCTGTATGCCTCTGGTGGGGTGTGTCCCTTTCTCTCTCAGATTAGAGCCATTTTATAGTAGATAAGAGATCATTCTTGTGGAGATCATAACATATCCTCAAGGCTTCTTTATCGCAGCTTAGAGATTATCTTCGGTGGAGATCACGACTTATCCTCAACGGAAGGAAGAGTTTGGGGAACTCTTGAAGGAAACGTGGTCAAAGATTGGACCGTTGATAAGCTTCTCGTGCTCTCTTCTTGGTGACGTGCTAAGCAAGAAGTCCAACCGTGCTGTCCTCTTGGTGACGTGCTAAGCAAGAAGTCCAACCGGCCTTGGGCTCCCTAAGGCGGTGTAGATAAACTTCCCGTGTTCTCCTCTTGGTGACGTGCTAAGCGAGAAGTCCAACCGTGCTCTCCTCTTGGTGACGTGCTAAGCAAGAAGTCCAACCGGCCTTGGGCTCCCTAAGGCGGTGTAGATAAACTTCCCGTGTTCTCCTCTTGGTGACGTGCTAAGCGAGAAGTCCAACCGTGCTCTCCTCTTGGTGACGTGCTAAGCAAGAAGTCCAACCGGCCTTGGGCTCCCTAAGGCGGTGTAGATAAACTTCCAGTGCTCTCCTCTTGGTGACGTGCTAAGCAAGAAGTCCAACCGTGCTCTCCTCTTGGTGACGTGCTAAGCAAGAAGTCCAACCGTCCTTGGGCTCCCTAAGGCTTGGTGGGTTCACGATGAGGTTGGGCTCCTCAATCGGGGTTGGGCTTTAATACATAAATTGGACTACTTGGACTTAACCCATCAAAAGTTACAATTATAAACAAGTAAAAGATCCTAAAAAATTAGAAGAAAGTAAAATAATTAAACAAAAAGATAGAAATGAATGTATTTATAATAATAGTCAATTATGTAAATACCACAATTTTGATGAAGAACGCACCAAACAAACAATAAGAACAATAAAAATATTAATGAAGTAATAAATTATAATTTTATAAAAATATTTATGATATAAAATGATATTATTATCAATTAAAAAAATATGTTAGCATAATTTGGGTCCATAGGTAGTTTCAACGATGTATTGTGAAAGGAAAAATGCCATTGCTTCAAGTAATATGAGCTCTGTAACTACTTGTGGAAAATAGATAAATGAAAGTGCCTTTGAACGAACGTTCCAATTATATGAGCACACTATATACTATATATACTCATGGTATATATATATACACTAATAATTTCTCGTACTTAAAGGCACAGAGTAACAAAAAAAATGATTAACAATAAATAAATTTGTTTTTATACCCAAAATTAAATTACGAAGATAGAGGAGAAAGAAATGAATTTAAGCACCTATTATAGTGAGAATGAGCGATGGTAGTGGTATTAGGAAACGGTAATGATTTGTGGTAGATGACAATGACCATTATTAATGGTGGCAGTTATGGGTGATAACAGTGATAGTGGTGGTGGGCGGTAGGGATGGGTGGTGATAGGAGTGATGGTGAGACAATGACGGTAGTGGTAAGTGGCACCAGTTATGGTGATGGTAAGGGTGATGGTGGTAATGATAATAAATATAAGAATAAAATGACGATGGTGGTGGATGGTGGGGATAGTCGTGGTAGTGGTGGGGCGGTAGCAATGGTTATAGGAGTGGTGGTGGGGTAATGAGGATGATAGTGGTAAAAGTAGTGATGAGTAAGTGGCATGGTGGTAGGGCGGCGACAACGGTGGTGATGATAATGATGGTGGTGGGGCGATGGGGGGGTGGTGGTGGAAGGGCGACAACAACGAGGGTAGTGGTGGCAGCGACGGGGACAGTGATGGTGGTTGCTATAGCAAAGATGGTAGTGGGGTGGTGACGACGATTGTGGTGGTGGTGGTGGTGTTGATGTTGGGGTAGTTGTGGTGGTGGTAATGGTGGGACGGTGGTGGTGGGGCGGTTTTAACACCACTTTTTGTTAAAAAAAAAACACTTATGAAAAAGTTATATGTCCTAATAGTACTTCTAAAAAGTTACTACAAACGTACCCTTAGGACCTTATTTTTTCTATTAAATTTGAGGTGTTACTATTAATTATCAGATTA